GGGAAGGGGGTGAAGAGAGTAGCATAAGAAAAAATTCCAACTGTTTTTCTACTTTCTAACCAACACTAGAAAATATTTTTCGGAAAAAAAAATTTCACTCAACAAACAAACAATGGAAAATAAGTGATAAAACCACTCATTTTCCCTGAAAACATTTTCTAGAAAAACATTTTCCATAGAAAATATTTCCTTCATACCAAACACACCCTTAATAGAAAAATATTTTCGCCAAAAGTATTATATGTATCAACAAGATTTTCAAGCGTCTTCTCAGATAGCGAATGTTAGAAAAATCAGGGGACAACAAATTTAAGAACTTTACAAACATTATCTGAAAGTACATAATCGGATGAGTCCAAATTACTCTTGTGCAACTTATCCAGATACTTAAAAAGTGTTTGGTTCAAAATTGACAGAGTTTTGAAGAGCAAAAAAAAAAAAAAAAAAAAAACAGAATTTTGGCACAATTATGAATTATCTTTCAACAAAAGTTCAAGATATAAAATTTTCTTATTTTATAAAAACTTAATAGACAGTCACCCCACATTTGAAATCTGTGAGATTTCAACTTCCTAGGGTCCTTTTTTTCCTTCAAATAAATATATAATATTATTAAGCTAATAAAGTGTAAGAGTTTATGGTCACCCCTAGCATATATGTAAGAAAATCAAATTTTCGATAAACTCTTGAAATAGTGAGATAACTAAATATGTTACACGGTATATAGTAGAACAACTATATGTATGCTCCTATTACCCCCTCCTCTCACTCACTGTCACACACACACACACAGAGAAATTAGATGGATTAGCTGTATAATATTAATCTTTATTAGAATCAAAATTTGAAAAACTAACATGACTTGCAAATCGCAGCAATTTGTTAAAACAATTATTTTCAAAAGTTGGTTTTGCTACATTCCGCTGAATTTAAAATGGAAACAAAGGACTACTAATATACTTGGAGTAGTAATGAAGAACGAAAATTTATCTTTATAACTCCAAGTTGCACTCCATTGGGTATGGAGAAACTTGAAAGAAATAGAGCAAAAACATAGTTATTGGCCCATGGATGTGGAGAAACTAGAATAGAAATGAAGAATTAACCCAATCAGTCGCTCACTCAACCACTTAAATTAAAAATAGCCAGCGAATATATAGTTTATCTATAATTCTTGTATAAATATATGCATAATCATATATAATTAGTGTATAATCTATGTATACTGGATAGATAAAGTAAATAGTGAATTTGGCCTACTATTTGTGTAAAAATTCCATCGAGCAAACATATGTACAAGTGACACCCGGATGCCACTTTAAAGGGCTGCTGTTTTTGAATTAACCAGTATGTCCTAAATTTTAGTTTTTTCAGTTAAATTTTTTGGGACAAAAATGTCTAATTTTTCTGAAGTTAAGATTTTCAGATTAAAATTTCAGGACAAGAAATAAGCACTGGCTAATATTTAAATAACGGGGCATTTGCATCTATATCCGCTTTTTGGGTCACGTTTTAACTTGTGTCCGCTTTGCAAAAAAAATTGCAAGCGTACCCACTTTTTCGCGTAACTTCAGCATACCGGGCTGAAGTAGCAAAGGCAATCATGCAAAACTTCAGCATTCTAGTAGACGGGCCTGAAGTAGCAAAAATTGCTGAACCAAGTGTGCTGAAGTTTTTGTTTGTAATTGCTGAACTTAAGCATTCTAGTGCTGAAGTTTTGTTCTCTATTTGCTGAAGTTTTTATTTGTAATTGCTGAACTTAATCATTCTAGTAGCTGAGTTTTGTGATGCTGAAGTTATTTAGTTCATTTGCAACAACTTCAGCACTAAATACGCTGATGTTTTTTGTCCTGGATAAGTTTTTTCAAAAACTTCAACAGAAGATGCTGAAGTTATTTAGTTCATTTGTAAAAACTTCAGCACTAAATAAGCTGAAGTTTTTTTGTCCTGGATAAGCTTTTTCAAATACTTCAGCAGAAGATGCTGAAATTATTTAGTTCATTTGTAAAAACTTCAGCACTAAATAAGCTGAAGTTTTTTTTTTATCCTGGATAAGCTTTTTCAAAAACTTCAGCAGAAGATGCTGAAGTTATTTAGTTCATTTGTAAAAACTTCAGCACTAAATAAGCTGAAGTTTTTTTGTCCTGGATAAGCTTTTTAAAAATTTTTAGCAGAAGATGCTGAAGTTATTTAGTTCATTTGTAAAACTTCAGCACTATATAAGCTAAAGTTTTTGAAAAAGCTTATATAGTTTTCTGACCCATACAATCACTATATTGGATCTTCGTTTTTTTTTCTTCTTTCTGAACGTTTTTATGGAGCAGATCAGTAATTACATTAGAAAAAGGTGCCTTCAGTGGAAATAAATCAAATAATCATAAAGTTTAAGTGATATAAAGTGAAACTTTTACTTTAACCCCACAGATCAATTTATTTGATTCAAAGAAAAAAAGATTACATCAAAAATGCGAAAAAAAATAAAATTGTGCAGCTTATGTTAGCTGATTCATTGTTATTGATAAGTCATAATCAATTTATTGGGACTTAAAATTAGTTGTCCCAACTCCCAATGAAGACCAGATGCTAATCTGTGTTATCGTACTGAAAATATCTTAAGAAAACGAAGGAGGAGAAGGAGGAGGAGAAAGGGGGATAAAGTTGTTTAAAAAGTAGATATAAGTTAAAACTTTTTAAAAAAATAAGTATAAATTAAACGCGGAACGACCAAATAGGGTGCCCGTGCAATTTTTACTTAAATAACATCCTTAAGAATGGCTGTTTGTGCACCTATTGGCCCGTAGATTCTGTCTCTCTAATAGCCCGTATTCTAACTGTAGTTTGCCCATTGAGAGACTGAGCCCTTTAATATCTAATTGAACCAGCCCATCGTGGCCCGAACTCTAATTGCAAAAAAAGCCCCCCAAAGAAAATAAAAAATCAAAAAACACCCAAATCAATATGTCTGGATAATCAAATAGGAGTAGTAATGACGAAGCTGAGCAGGAACAACAATTTCATGCTCTGAAAGTCTACTGACACTCAATTAAATATAAATAAATAAATAAATCTTACACTACTTCTCCACACCCCCCAACTTCATTATTTGCGTCTTCTACATAATCATTCAGTGCCCAAAGAGAGCCAATAATTTGCTATAATGGAAGAACATAGCAGAAATCTCTGAATTTTTTAAAATTTATTTAGAGGAGATGGGTAGAGCGATCTCAGTTATATTGCAGCCACGGTGGCTTCTGATCTTTCTTGCTGCTTTAGTTCTTATCTTTCTTGCTTCCTCCTTCTCCCAAAAGGTACGATTTTTTGTCTCTTTTTTGGTATTTTTTTTTTTGTTTTTTCTGTTACATGTGTGATTTTTAGGTAATTAGATAATTCAATATAATGGTTTTGGATCTGATTGTGGTCAAAATTGGATTGACTGTAAATTATGTTCATGAGGCTGTTATTGGGCATTGATTCTTTGTTGCGGACTTAAAGCATTATTGAGCATTATTAAAAAAGATCTCATCTTTTTCTCACACTAGAGAAATTTACTCACATACCTGCTAAGTTACTTTGTAGTGATTTAATAGGGTTGCAATGTCTTTAACGACGATGTTTGAAGCAATGTTATGTTTTCTGCACGAATTTAATGGTGATAGGGAGCACAGGAAATTGCCTAGTCAACATTACCAGCTAAATTGAAAGGGGAAAGTATTTCATTTATAATATATTTGTGTGAGATATGGATAATTAGGGAGAATTAATTTCATGGAACTTATGGTGGTTAGATTTGGATCGTTGTGCAATGCGCTTCGAGTGATGTCAGGCCAGTTTATGGGAATGATGACTGATTGGTAATAGGTTTGATGTTGCCCACTGCCCTCCCAATTGGAGAACAATATGAGAAGCAAAAATGAAGAGCAAAGGAAGGAAAAAAATTCTTTTGGAATAGAGTTTCTTCGGAACACACGTCAAAAGGCTAGTCTTGGGGTTATCCTTAGAAGCAAGACGAGTCCTCCCAAAATTTTAAGATGTCAGTTGCTAGCCTGCTACACATTTATCATAGTATAACTTTTACTGTAGCGTAGTTTCCCTTGAATCTGCAAGTATCATTGACTTTATGATATGTGACCTATAATTTCAAGATAAGTAGAATCACAATCTAACATTGGTTTAGCTTTCTGCATGTCAATAGAAAACCAGAAGTTGTGCAGTCATATCTCGCACCCAATCTTTGGGATCAAGGTTTCCAATTTCCTTGAAATATTAATTGAATTGATCATCTCCTGGTTGGCTCAAACTCTCAGATGCTGATGTAGTAAAATATCGCTAAGTATTAAAGATTAAACTTTAATACTTGTTTATTTGTTCCATGTACTATATCCGGATAAGGGATATAATTGATAATGTGCAAATAAACTTAAATAGAAATTTGTGAAGCTTAGTCATGTACCATATTCTTCATGTGGTAGATCGTCATTTCCCCCTCTAGTTTTCATTTTGTAGCATAGCTTTGACATTGTTTCTGCTACTTAAGTTCATTTGAATAGAATTTCTTTAGCAATCTCAGTCGAACCAGTTTAGAGTGGTCGGCTCTGTTTCTCCATGCATGCACAATCATTTTGGTATAATCAGTAATGTTATTCGTATGGAGATATATATATAGATGTTGTATAATACATTGTGTTTGGTCTGGCGCAACGGAGCGCACATATTGATTTACATTTTCGCTAGGTGAAATATATATAGTTTCTGTCTGTTTATTTGGTACAAAAAGATAGAAAAAAAATACTTACCCTCTCATTTGCATCTAAATTGGAGGGACTTGTGTATCCACCCCAGTTATTTTACATCTTCAAGCAGTCCCTATCCTCAAGTTAAGGTATCTATCCCTCTCCTCTCCAAACCATAAAAAAGTAATTCTAGTACAGAAAATTTAGGGGAATGCTGTTTGGAGGACAGCATTGTGTGATTCACATTTTCAGAGGTTTATACTAATAAGACAAGCTACTAAAAAGTTAAAATCTCATCTATCTTTTTTAGCTTCAAACTATTAGCAGGAGTTAGAATCTGCTATTTAAAAGCTATAAGACTAATTCTGGAGTCTCATTTGCAAGTTTTGTCAATATCTTCTATTCTATTTCTAAGAACCCCTTTTAACCAGTAGTGATATTTTTTGCTCCAACAGTTGCCGAAGAATTATTATTTGCTTACCTGTTTAATTTCTCAGGAATATGAAAAGGTGGAAGAGGTGTATGATATTACCCACAGAGTATTCTTGGATGTTGATATAGATAAACAACGTGTAGGTATGGACCTCTTCTGCTGACGTTCTTATTTTGTTAGATGCCATTTACTCTATGAACTACAGATATAAAATTCCCAGGTCAAGTGCCCCTGCCCACCACTAAAGAAAAAAAAGGAAAAAGAAAAAGGAAGTGTAAATGGGTTGAATCAGTGACCTGGTATTCTTTTACCAAAGCTTTCCTTATTATCCTTTCTGAAACAGTTTCTAACTATGTCGTGCTGACTTAGTTACTGTTTCCTTTTTTGCTTTAACTAAATTTGTAATCTATACTCAATCCGTGTTGACCACTTCATCTCTTGATTCTCATGCTACTATCGATGAAGGATCGTGATGATTGCACTATCTTCTCATCCGAAAACCAAAATCATATAGATGACCTATAAAGACTTGATCTATTAATGATTAGAAATGTTCTGACTGGTATAGTATGTGCTTTGTTCAAGGACAATAATACTTGTGAACTTGCATTGCACTGTGCTATCCCCGTTCCAAGCTAACATGGTACGATGTTTCAGTATCCAGCTTCGAGTTGATTTAAGCCTTTAATTTAGGGAAAATTTCACATATCAACAACTGGATTCCTACTTTTCAATTTTATAGCCCATATTTCAATTTACAACTAACTAACCCAAAAATAATAGGCTAAGATTCAACATCCAACTCCAATAAATTCTCAAAATTACTATTTAATTTTTAAAAAAGATTGCTCAAGCTTTTAAGTTAATTTTCGAATCAGCAACTATAACTCAAATATTAGTTCAACAAACCAAATCCATTTAAATGGTGAAAATTAGATTTTTAACAAGCTTAAATATGTGGGTTTAGATTCCGAATTTGATTTTGTGAGAAATTTGGAGTGGGTGTTATTTAGAATTGTTAGAAATAGTTTAAGGAGGTTGTATAAAAAATTTGAAGTCATTTAATGGAGATTTGGACTGGTTTTGAACAAGAATTGTAACTGAAAATCGTGGAAGAAGTTCGTCCACAGACGCTTGTATAAAGGTGTATAAAAGTGTATAATAGTGTATAAGATGTGTTTATACACCCATATACACTATTATACAAGATTATACATAATTATACAAAAAACTGATTACGTCTTCTTCCTTGCGTTTTTTCTAAAATTTAACTCAAATCTTGTTCAAATCTACTCAAAATCACTTCAAATTGAAATTTTGAACTCCTTCTGATATTTTCAATCAATTGGAACAACACCCAACCCAAACAACTAACAAACTCAAAAAATCCTATTTTCAAAAGCAAAGCTTTGAATAGCCTTCAATGGTGAACTTCTACTCTTCAATTTTCTTAAATTGCAACCAAATGACACATGGGAGAAGCAATAATAGCGGATGGCCCCTTGAAGCATATGTAGAAGGTGTGAGAAGAAAAGAGAGTGAATACAATGTTTGTGAGAACACAAATTTAACTCCATAAATTTTGAATTTGCTAGTGCTTTCAAAATATGTACAATATGGGCTAGGTAGGGTAAAACTTAAAAACATGGGCTATTTTTTGTTATGGTGTGATGTCAAGTGTATTTTCTTGTAATTTTTTCTTTAATTTATTGATATTTTAAGAACATATGTTATGCTTGAAACCCTATAACTTGACCACTCCTTTTAAAAGTTAAGAAATTTTGAAATTGTTTAAGAAATTCATTTTGAAAATACTTATAAAAACATAAGAAGATCCTTAACCAAGAAAAAGTTATTTGACCCTCCCAATAGTAATTGTACCATGTAAAGCAGGATAGATAGAATGTAATATATATCTAATGAGCTGCCCATGTAGAAGAAGAAAAGAAGATCTTCATTATTTTGATGGTTTTTGCAATATCCTTGGAATTTGTGCACGGTGCTGGGGAAGATTTTTGTGTATGAATGATCCAAACTTCAAATGTATGCAGGAAGAATTGTGATTGGATTATATGGGCAAGTTGTACCAAAAACTGTTGGTACGTCTTAATATACCTCTTTTCCATACTTTGCTCTCCTCTTCAGTACAATACTTCCATTCCTGTTGCTTAATGCCTGCATTTTTACTTCTCTGCAGAGAATTTCAGGGCTTTGTGCACAGGTACTTCTGTTAGTGTATAATTATAAATAGCACGTTTTTTGACTCCTTAGTGATACACACGCAACCACTTACATATACTTTCTCACACATATACATATTACAATATTTTTTCAAGCTATTTTGACTGCAATTGCTGCACTTCTTGTTATTTAACTCAGGGGAAATGGGCAAGACCGCTGATGGAATATCTCTTCACTACAAGGGAAAGCCATTTCATCGTGTAATACCTGGATTCATGATTCAAGGTGGAGATATTGTGTCCGGTGATGGAAGGGGAAACATTTCCATTTATGGTGGTCCCTTTCGTGATGAGAATCTCAAGATAAAGCATTCTCATGCAGGTCTGAAGTCATAACTTGATTGCATTAACTCTCTCGAGAGAGAAACGAAGGCAAATATTTGTACATTCACGTAAATGTGTACATTTATAAGCTTCTTATTTTGACTTTTGCAGGTGTTATTTCCATGGTGAACACAGGACCCAACTCCAACGGCTGTCAGTTCTTTATACCGACAGTGAAGGCTAGCTGGTAAGGTTTTAAAATTTAATGACTGATTAAATCCAAAATGCTTCTCAGACACTCAAGACACAACGGTTTTAACAGATGCCTATTAGGTGTATGCTGCAATCCTTTCTAATATGCCTATATCTAAACCACTGAATGCTTCCAATTCACAAAATGATTTAGCAAAGAACAACAAAATGTGGTATCTGAAAATAATGACCTCCGATAAATATTTAGCAAAGAATAGTGGACCGTCGTGAGCTTGTTTATCTTTTTTCATTTATAATTTAATACTACTGTTTTATTGGTGCTAGTAAGAGTTGTCCGATTTTAGTCATTTCTGCCGTAGCAGCTGTATACAGGGGTAGGTAGAATGACACAATCTAGCGCAATATATCCTCCAAAATGTTTTGAACATGCTATGATTACATAGATTGTTTTCCCAGATAGCAAAGATAATTATTTACTGAAGCAATAAACCAACTACACGCCTGTAACTTTTACTTCAGCACTTCCTTGCTGCTAATTATGTAATATGAATGAAATGAACCTAACCTTTCTCAAAGAAAAACAAATTATCTAGTGAAACAATATTCCAGATGGGTTTGTCCTGCATTGCTTAATAATGTTACATCCCGTGTTATTATGGAGGAACCAACGCTTGAATGTTCAAAAACTTCTCATACTAACACTAAAGCTTACAAGCAGGTTGGACGGGGAGCATGTTGTATTTGGCAAAGTAATTGAAGGTATGGACACGGTATATGCAATAGAGGGCGGAGCAGGAACCTACAGTGGAAAACCGAGAAAAAAGGTGATTATTGCAGACTCTGGGGAAATACCTAAGAGCAAGTGGGATGAGGACAGCCAGAGTTCAATTTCATAAAGATTGTCAAAAGTTTTGAAGTTACTAACCAACCCTATATATTCTTGCCCTGTGTTCTTTTCTTTTATATCACGAACTTAAATTTTTGTGGTGCTAATTATGAGGTCCTATTTGATCACCTTAACCTTACAGATACGAGTGTTTATTCGTAGAATTGGTTGTGAATATTTTGGATTTTGTAGAGGAATTGAACTGAACCTATACATTTTCTTTACATTCAAATTGGCTTGCTGCCAAGTCCCTAATGCCTTTGTTCTCCATTAAGACCAGAAATAACAACATACCCAGTATTATCCCACATTGTGGGGTCTGGGGAGGGCACTGTGTATGCAGACCTTACCCCAACCTTGTGAATGTAGAGAAGTTATTTTCAATCGACTTTCGACTCGGGAAAACAAGGACCAGAAATAGTTACTGCTAATAATATTGGACTAAGATGTGTTTAAATAGTGCGACATGGATAGTGATAATTCATATTGGCGATTTCAACTTGTTTTGGGATTGAGGCATTTTATAGAGCCGGTTCTGTGGGAAAGCAAGGATTCTTGTTTTTTTGTTGTTGTCAGCATCAATACGTTGAAATTGCGTGGACCACATTATCACTATGCTGGTCCAAGAACCTGTCGCTTCAATTTGGAGATAATGAAATTGTTTTAGAGCTTGTTTGTAAAGCCACCTTGGAAATGGATTTGGGTGTAACTGGGTGTAATTACACAGTTTGGTATGTTTGTTTGGCCAAGTATTACTTGGTCAACATGGAATTGGGTGTAATTACACTCTCCAATTCTCAAGGGGAGGTAAAATTGGTGGTAATTACACTGTGTTGCAAGGTCACTTTTTAGTTTCTTTCCTTTTTGTTTGTATTTTAATTTATTTTTTTATAACTTTTTATTTCTATTATTTTAATTTTTTAATTTTATTTTTACCTTTTAATTTCTTTTGGAATTTTAAAATATATTTTCTTTGTACATTATTTGTCTTTTATTTCTCTATATTTACTTCTTGTGATTCCATGTAATTGCCTATAATTTATTTTTTATTTATTTTGTTATGCTATTTTTTTAAATTACACCTCCTAATATTAGAAATAGTAAGAGCCCGTTTGGACATAAGAAATTTTTCCTTTTTCGAAAAAATTTCACTTTTTTTTAAATCGGCGTTTGGTCATAAAATTTCCAATTTTCACTTGAAGATGCATTTTGAAATTTTTTGAAAATTTGAAAAACTCCAAAAAGCTGTTTTCCAAAATTTCACTCAAATCACTCACAAAACTTCAAAACAATCCAAACTGAAATTTATGTCCAAACACAACTCCAAATTTCAAATACCATTTTCACTTGAAAATTTTTTTCACCTACTAAAATTCTTATGTCCAAACGCCTACTAAGTCATTAACAAACTTGACATATAATGAGTGATGCAATTAAAGTGAAATTTTATTGTTGATTGTTGGTTATAAACTTATCATGTTTCCTAATTATTAAGTTGCATTGGAACTTACTATTATTATGTTGGAATTTGACATATGTTAAACTATTTTATTTTATTTTTTGAATTTTAAAATTGTGTTATATTCATGGTTTCAATTTACTTGTTTTAGTAGTATCGGCTCACATTGCATGTTGTTCATTTTTTAGTTAGAATTGATAGATTAGTTTTGTCAACATTTGAATAATGTTATGACATTATATTTATAAATAACTAAATATATCAATTAAAAAATATATAAATTATTTAATATTTAGTTATAAATATATGGTTACTAAATTAATGTATATTCACGAAAAAATATATATCTTAAATATATAATATAATATTTTATACTTATAAAAATTTAATAGGCATATATTTATTATATTAACTTTTAAGTTTTGATAATTACTTAATTCGAAATTTAATCTATTTAACACTCCATGATAAAAATTCTGGCTTGCACTGATTTACACAACTGTGTAATTACTAAGGTATCTAATTACTACCCTAGTAAATTACACATTACAATCCAAACGGACTCTTAGTGAAGATAAGCTATAATTAATGCTATATAGTGTAATGAATTTCCATTACCAAGTTTCGTCTGTGTCCTGAATTATTTTTCAAGTTCGAATCTAGCAATCCTGCACGTGGATCAATCAACTTTCCTCTAAACTTTTCAAAATTCTAAACAAAGTAGAGTGGTTTCTTTTTGTATTGGGAAAAATTAAATTAATATATCGAATTAATTATGGGGTGACATGTCGTGATACGTGGATTGATAAAGGAATGTCAACTGGCGAAGAGTAGATGAAGAGGCACGAGCTTTAGCAGGCATGGGCAAAATCCAAGGAAACCAAAGGGAATAGGTGCTCGAACCTCTTGATATTCTGAAAGGCATCAAGAAGAATGAACCTAAATAGCAAAAAAGGGTATAGATACGTATTATGGAAATTAATAGGCATTAATTACAGAAAACGTTACAAAAATTTGTAACTAAATCAATTACGATTACCAAATTATAACGTTACATTAAATGACATTGGTTGTCCATAAAAACTCCATTATGAGAGGAGAAAAACGTATTACTTAGAAATAGCTATAAAAGGTGAGGAATGAATTTTTGTAAAGACTTGAAATACTATTGAAATATACTGGATTTACTTTGCTTTCTATTCAGCTATATTTACATCATTATTCCTATTCTCTACTTGATTATCAGTAACCCGAGTTCTTCTAAAATAAAAGCTTTGACCGAAATCCCAATTTTTGGTTAAACAAATTGGTTCCGTTACCGGGAATCTGATAATCTATTCCTTCCTAATTAACCTTTTTGTCAAATCAATCATGTCAAATGTCAATGACAACAATCAAAGAGACCGTCAACTCCAGGAGAATCTCTGCAAGGTGATGGAACCCCGATCCCTTCCCCAAAAGTTCTCCTCAACAATCTCGAGAAGGAACTCCTGATGGAGTTCAATCAAATGCAAATTATCAATTGGAAATATGATGAGGCTATCAACGAAGCTTTGCAAAGTTAATCGCTCAACAGGTCAACAAAGCTCTTGAGGCTTTCGCTAAACCAGCTACCAGTTGTGCCACCAACATCAACTCAAACAACAACGCCTTAGAAAATCCTCGTCAGGACTCGTTAACATCAGCAGCGGGGGAACTCCTAGTGAATCTCGTGATGGAGGGTCAGGTAACCCAATTAATTCTGATTTATAAAATTTAGTACTAACTCTGCAGAAACAGCTCAAGGAACAAAGCGATCGCATAGAGCAAATACCTGGAGTCCGCCGGTTAATCAAAGGATAGATATGGACAAATACTCACAACAACCTTGGAAGCCAAGTGCTTGCTCCTTTACCATTCCGAAGAAATTTAAGATGCCCGATATCCCAAAATACGATGGTACCACCGATCCACGAGATCACGTAACTGCTTTCACAACCGGTGTACAAGGCAACGACTTGACCAAGCAGGAAATTTGAATCAGTTTTGGTCAAAAAGTTCGGAGAAACACTTACTAAGGGAGCATTAACATGGTACTCCTCTTTTACCTGAAAAATTCTATAGATTCTTTTTTTGAACTTGCAGATTCATTCATCAAAGCACACTCGGGAGCTCAAAAAGTTGAGAAAAGAATGGAGGACATCTTTAAAATAAAGCAAGGAGATACGGAGCCGCTCAGGGAATTCGTAGACAGGTTCCAGCGTGAAAGGATGATGTTGCCACGTGTACCTGATAACTGGGCAGCGATTGACATTCACCAGCAATCTAAACGAAAAGAGTTCAGAAGCCCACGAGGAGACTCAAGGAAAGCCTACGTGAATTTCCAGCTATAAACTTGGAATGGTGTTTATAACAGATACAGCACGAAGCTGCGGATAAGAAGAGGATACCATCATTCAATCTCAAAGGGATGAAAAGATAAGTTCAAGGCGAGTTGAAACTGAAAAAAGGTCGGTAAAAACAGGTACGAACCTTACATGGGACCGACAGTAAGTAGATCACGATCAAAACAGGATAAACTTCAGGTACGATCATAGATCAAGAGATAGGGAGTCGGGTTCAATCATCAAGGTTCGGGAAAGAACGAAACGCAACGAGAAACGGGTGGTGATGACAAAAGCTCTAAGGCAAAGATCGGCGGTTACAGTTTTAATGTAAGCACTTTCGAGGCAACAAGGTACGCTGGCCAAAAAAAATGAGTTCAAATCCAAACAGGCGAAATCCTGATTATTGGTGCGAGTTTCACCATGATCACGGTCACAAACGACGGATTGTAGATTGTTGCAGGGTGAAGTTTGAACATTTATTGAAGCAAGGGTATCTAACTGAATTTTTAGTGAAAAAGGAAAGCAGGCATATATGAAAAACAGACAGGAGCCGCCAAACCCCCTTCACCAAAAGGACTGTTAATGTCATAAGTGGGGGAGAGAATCAATGGAGTAACAGCAGCCAATAAAGTTTAAAAATACAGTCAAAATATGGGAAGCGAGTTCGACATGTTTTGGAAGAAGAAAGTATTAACATTTGATGATGCAGATGCAGATGGCGTACTAACCCCAGACATGACGCACTGGTAATATCTTTACTTGTACATGACACTAATGTGAAACGAGTTTTGATTGATCCGGGTAGCTCTGTGAATATCATTCTTTAAGAGTGGTAAACGAAATGCAAGCTGATACCAAGGCGCACACCTTATCTAGTTTTGACAACTCAATGTTGTAACAAAGGGGAGATAATACTCACCACATTCGCAAAAGGGGTTGTCAAGGGTACGAAATTTCAGGTGGACATGGCTTACAATATGATTCTCGGAACGACCATGGATTCACCGAAATGGATGCTGTGCCATCTACCCTGCACAAGTTATTAAAATTCCCTTCACAATGGGGAATACGACAATCCGCGGTGACCAGCAAGCCGTCTAGGAGCATCAATTCTGTAGCAGATTCAAGCGCAAAAAATGATGTAAAATAGCAATTACAAAATTCAGTTGAGGATGATACACACAAAATCTCAACTGAACACGTGGAAAATAGATGTAGACTCAAGGCCCCGATACCATACCAGAGCCAGAGGAAAACGAAACATCAAAAACAACGATTGAAGAATTGAGAAGTCGTAGTACTATTTGCATCCTGGCCTGAAAGGAAAGTCTACCTTGGGGTAACCTCAGCCAGGAATGAAAGGTAAGTTTGACTGAATTTTTGAAAGCTAACGTGGATTGTTTTGCCTGGTCCCATTCTGATAATGA